TCAGCCATCCCTGTTCCTGGGCTCTCCCGCCTGTGAGAACACTTGTGCCAGCCCCAGGACACAGAGAACAGGCTCTCAGTCTGAGAAAGCAAAGAAAAAACTTCACACTGAGAGAAAAGCCCGCTTAGTTTACAGGTTGCTTTTATTTACAAATATACCGAAGTGTAATCTCTCTCTTTTTTTTCTTTTTCTGCTTTTGTTTAGAGTGTGTGTGTGTGTGTATGTGCACGTGCACATGCACGTGGGAAGGAACACAGTGCGTGAGAAACTCATGGATCTTAGCTCCAGGCAATGGTGGCAGGAAAAAAAATGCAGTGAAATGAAATTTAAAAACACTAATAAATAATTTAATAACGACAAATAATTAAATTAAAAAAAAATCCAATCTACATACATTATGGTGGTTTGTTTCCAACACAGAGGGAAAGGAGCAGCGAATCTACAGTGAAAGGAGCTGGTTAAATATGAGAGAGCATAGTCATATTTTTTACAAGTTAAACAAATTGTAACAGACAGCTACAAAATACTACATTTCGATAACATAAATACAGAATATATAAATATACAAGTAATACAGCCATACACAGCTAAAAAATAGGGTGTCCACTTAAAAACAGAGTTCCCAATGCAAGGTATCTGGCAGCCCCTTCCCAGCTGCTGCTGAGCAGAACCAGGGTGTACTGAGCCAAGGGGACCCGGCTGCAGCCCTCAGTGCAGTCAGATCAGCCTCAGAGGAGCAGGACCATGCTGAAAGCCCACCAAAGCCAAAAGACTTCATGTGTCTCTTGTGACCAAGTATCTCCCTAACCGAGGAGCACAGGTGCCCAAAGCTCTGGCTACAGCTTCCCTGTGCCCCCAGGCTAAAGAAGAGGGGCTGGGGAGGAACCTGCATGCACAGGGAGCAGCTGCTGGTCAGAAATGAGTCAGGTGGTTTGGGCATGGGGTTGTGTAAAGCACGATCTGGAGCACTGAGACTCTGGGTACTGTGGCTCCAGCTCCCACAGCCGTGTCATGCTTCAGCAGGCTCTGTCCTTTCACTGCTGTGACTAAGCTCCAGGCTTGTGAGAAACCTTCCCTTCCTCACAATTCTACTGTTCATTTCTAGTGACTTCCAGGAACAACCAGAGTTCTTATGACAGGGTTCATGGAAGTGCTCTTGCAAACCCTAGCTGACAGCATCTCAGCAGCCTCCCAGAGCTGGCTTCCCTGGGGCGGTGGCTTGGGATATACTTCTGACTCTTAAGGAAAGTGGAAAGGAGTCCTGAGCTCAGTAGGAAGAGGTAAGTGAGTTCACATCATCCCTGGAAGGTTTGCTGTCATGAAGGACCTTCCCCATGCCATGATGTACAGTGAGGTGGCTGAGCAATGACCCTTCAAAGGACCTGGTAATGCTCATCCATTTTCTGCAGGATGGGTCTGAAAAATCCACTCAGCTAACGTGAGCCTCACCTCATTGTTAGCTGCAACTGGGCCACGTCATCTGGATGTTTTTGATGACAGAGTTTAAAGAAGAAAAAGAGTTAAAAATGCCCAGGATGGTGTTTCAATATAAGTTGTTGCAACCACCACCCTTTACTTACAGCAACATAATTGTGTTCCATGTCATGACTGTTAAACACATTTGCCACCAGCCTCAGGGTTTGTCCCACAGTGTGGTGGTAATGGGGGGCTGAGAACAGCAGTGCACAGTAGGAATCATCCCCTCCACAGCCAGCCAGGCCAGAGAAGGTGCTGCTGCTCAGCCCAGAGCCTGGTTGGGACCCAGGACCACACAGCTCAGTGACCCCTCCTGAATGCTGGGAACAATCTGTCTGCCACTGCCACAGACCTGCAGCTGCACAATAAGGACCTCTAAGTTGGTACCCAGCATTCTGATCTCACAATCATCTTTTTTATGCATTATTGAGCAAACACTGAAACCTAATCAATCATCTTTTACTTAATTGCATCTTGTCACCACTTTAGCTGCACACGTATTCTTTGATTAGCTAAAACAACATGATTGAAAGGCCATGAAGAGCTCACTTGATGCATTTGTATTAGAGAGGGGTTAATTTCCTAGGGAAAATGATCACTGTAAGGTGCACATAATAAACTGCTGTCATGACCTCTAGCCTTCGAGCTCCCATATGTGCAATCATTGTTTGCGGTTTTCGTGGAAGTGCCAGATGCTAAGAATTTTTTGGCTAGAGTTTATCAATTTGACTCAATGTAAGATATTACTGTGATATGGCCCATTAAACATTTTACTTTCACCTGATCGGGGACATTCCCTTGACAATAGAAGAGTAAAGCAGAAATCAAAAAGGTCAGAGGTTGCTGTATAATCTTTTACTGCAGGTCCCAGGTTAAAACCACAATGATCACACTCCAGTAGAGTAATTTATTCTACAAAAAGAAAGTGACATTTATTTTGCTTTAATGAACTTTGGCCTTCGCCAGCTATAACAGGCCCACTGGAAATCCTTGGCTATGCATTCCTTCCCTGGACCAGCAGCAGCCCACCATGGCATGGAAAATGTTACACATGCCAAGGGCCTGACTGTGCTGCGTGTGTGGCTCCAAATGTGGCAGAACATGGGGCAACAAACAGCTAAGGCATCACCATACAACACACCAAGGGAAAGGAGATGGTATGTACAAGAAATGAAAAGGAAAAAAAAAAGGTGGCAAACAGTCGTTCAAGTCATCCAAAATCAGCAAATTATGATGGTTACTTCATCTATAAAATGGGATATCTGATTTTTTCCTTGGAGATGGATTGTTTTTTCAACATCAACCCAGACGCAGAGGTAGAGTTGGGACAAGGCAGTTCTCCAAACTGTAGGTCACATTAGAGTTCTCATACAAGTCCCTGTAAACACTAAAAATGCCATTTTCATCCTGTCAGTAATGAAATATGAAGCAAGGTTGTGCCTGTGTGAGTTGTCTATAAACTGGTATGTCTGAGAGGGTGAAGACATTTTCTATGACTCTAAAGTAGTACAGCAGAGGGGTGAGGAGGGAAAGGATCAATCCATTGAGATTGGTGGTGACAAATCTTTATATGTGCCATATGAAACCTGCTTGCCTTCTGCCCTTTCAAGCAGTGAGGATCACCTGAGTTCTTTTTAGATGTTTGCTATCATGCAGAGAGAAAGGAAATTGTTGTTTATTTTGATACACAGGGAAAGGGAAAAATAATTGAGCAGGATGGGCAAGAAAAGAAGATCCTTTCAATTTCAAAATATTTCGAGGGACTCACAACCCTCAACTGAAAACCACATCCCTGCCAGAAAGCAGGGAATGGTCGCTAGACAAAGCATATGGATGTGATGGACCACCTCCCTGGGGAAAACAGCAATGGCAACCTGCAGGGACAGGGACAGGAGCATCCCCAGCACCCTCGCAGAGCCACCAGTCCCTTCCCTGACCAAGGGTGTGTGCGGCAGGCAGTGGAAGGGTTGGCCTTGAGCTGTGCCTGCACCCCTGCCCCATGCACACACACACACAGAGCCTCCTCCACGGTGGTGTCCTTCTCTCCAGAGTGAGAACCCATGTGCTTATCCTGCAGATAAAACTTGACTTTCTCAAGAAACCTCCAACATACTCGGTGCACATTACCCTGCCATCAGAAAATGATCTTGTTTTCCCTTGGACCCACCATCCTACCCTTCCTACCCATGCCTCCGGGACACCTGGAGGACCTGTCTCCATCAGTGATGCGGGTTCCCAGCAGGATCACCCCCCCAAGGCCGAGGACACAGTGCCCCCAGCAATGCTCCTCCCGCCCTGGGTGCCAAGGCTGCAGGGCTCCTGCTCTGGCCTCCCCTCCAAGGCAGTCCCAGAGTCCCACACTCCCAGAGAAGGTGCTGAGCCCCACAGGGACACTGCAGTGCTGGCCTGGTACCAGTCCTCAGCCTGGAGGAGTTAGATTAACCAGAGCTTTGGACTTGTTTTTCAGCTATTATGGTCAATATATTAAAGGTATTTATTTAAGAAAGTGCCTATCCTGCCAATCTTTCCCCGTGAGCTCTATTTTGAACACACCCTATAATTACTGATATTACCCTGGCAAATTTTCCCCATGAAGTTTTCTCCACTGAGAGCCATGACTGTACTTGTCTGCCTCTCCACATTATAATTATCACCAGGCAATATTTATAGCTAACTATTATTATTTATGATATTTTATGCCCTACGAAAATCTATATGACATATGCTCAAACTTCAACATCAGGGACAATCAGCCTTCAGCTGGGACACCCCCTTCCTTCAGCATACCTGTTCCTCTGGCACTGCCCGGCTGATGGGAGCCCCAGCCAGGAGTCCTGGCAGCAGGAGGATCTGCAGGACTTGGTCAGACTCCAGCCCAACATACCTGAACTTCCCAGCGGGATCTCTTTCACACTTTTCTGTTCGTAGCTGGTGCACATTTCAGGACTTCTGGTGTTTCAGGCTAGAACTGTGTATCCTCGATTCTTGCTGAGGCAAGATAATTAACTAAAGGAGTGCTTAATTATTCCAGATGGACAATAGAGCACAGCATATTTATGCCTCATGCAAAACATAAATAAACAGAACAGAAGGAACAAACACTTGTTTGCCAGTTGTGGTCTAGGCTTGAAATTTGGCACTGCAAAACTTACAAACAAATGTAAATGTTTTAATCTCACACTTAAAAAAAAAATTAAATAAAACTGTCTCGTAAGCACCCTTAGTTTTAATTATTTAAGATCAATGCTAACCTAAATGCCTCTGTCCCTAACATGCATGTCCTCTCCAGAGTAATAGACCTTTCTTATTCTGAAATCACTGGCTTTCTCCACAAATACTGTTAACCAGTTTCCTCAGTATCATATGCATAAGGGCTATAAACTAATGAGCAGATCTAGGTTATGTAGAAAAAGTGTAGAAAGGAAACAAATGTTGAACATCACATTTACATTAACTTCTCACAGTTCAAATGGCAATTTATCCACAACATAGTATGAATCATGCAGTAAGAAAAGGGAGGAATCTCCAGTTTCTTTGATTTATTTGTCATATGGTTAACTGATGTCAGTATCAGCGGCTTTAAAAAAAAAAAAAAGTTTAAACATCCAAAAGAAAGGAAGAGAGAAAGAAGGAAAAGGTCTAGCTTTCCACAAAATCCATTTCCTTTAAGATGACGAGCTCAAACCAAACCAAATCAAAGGCTGAGGACGAGCAGGTTCTTCCGTTCCTTCCGTGCTTGTCTCGTGGTCTGGTGCAGGCTGGGAATCAAGGGTATGGGACGGGTGGATGTGTTTTGTTTCTCTATATATGTATGTAGGTAGGTAGGTATTAAAGTATATATACATACATACACATATATGCAAACAGAGACAGTCTTCCTAAAAAAATGCTCTTTGCAGTCCAGAGGCAGCAGAGTCACTGTGAAGGAAGAGCTGGGCAACATATGGCTGTAGAGTCTGCACTGGAAAAGTCACTGGCTAAACACACGCCGGCTGTTTTTTCCTTATTTTCATGAGGCGAAATAGGAGCTCTGCATAGAGTACAGCCTGTCAATGGGGTTTCCTACTCTAGCCTGCATGGAGTTAACTTCAGAAGAGGCAAGAAAACAGTCGCTCAAGCTAGTTAAAGAGGTATCACTGTCGATATCATGAAAAATGGAGTCATTTCCTGCAAATGAAACGTACATGTTAAGCTGGTGCTGTGCAGCCAGGGAGGACACACTACTCACGGGTGCTCACAAGCTGCAGCTGCAGCAACTGGGGTCACTCCTGGTTCTCTTAGCACATGTTAGCTTTATCACATGTACTTCGGCTCTAAGGGTCTGACCCATGATGATGGGGACTAAAAACCAATCCATGGGGGCCAGCTGGTAGCAGTGCCCCCCAAACCTGCCAGGATTTAATTAAGGCTTCAGTCAGCAGCACAAAAGGTAGTCTTGGCTGAAAATGAGAGCAAACAGTGCTGGGGAGGAGCAGGTGCCCAGCTCTCCAAGGGCAGGGATCTGGCACTCCTGGGGGCACCAGGGCTGTTGAGGAAGGTGGGACCAGATATCAAGTGCCCGTGACAGGGAAGCATGGTCTAAGAGCCATAGTCATGGTGGTCTTCACTTACACACAAGGCAAAAACCAGTTCTACCAATGTGACAGGACCCAGGAGGAGACACAGCTTTCCTGGCCTCAAGCAAGCTACAATCCTAAACATGCTCTCCTTTCAGAAAATTCCACTCTTTCAGGGCTAGTTTGGAACAGCACCTTTTATTTCCCTTAGCAACTAAGATTTCAGCTTACTTCAACTTCGAAGGTACCAGAAAAACCTCTAGCTCAAGTGCTGGAGGCTTTAACAAAATGTTAGTCCGGTTCTTTTTCCTCACACACTTGTTTGAAAGGGCTTTCTGCCATCCTCTGCACTCTTTTCAGAGCACAGAACCTGCCTCCCAAGAAGTTTTACTCAGAAAGCCCAGCAAACCAACAAAATCACAATCCACCTATAATGCTTGAGGGCACTTTGTATGTCCTCAGCTCCTTACAGGACCTCCCAAATTTCCTGGTGTGCAGCATTGACTTGTCTCAGTGGCAAAAGTACTGACACAGACCCAAAGCAGATCTGCTGTTGGCCTGTGCATGCTGTGCTTGTGACAGTGATGCACACGTGAGCCTCTGCAGTGAAGTGTCCTGGTCAGCAGGAAAGAAACAGAAACAGGCCCTTGTGGGCTACTGCAAGGCCGAGAATCACAGCCTGAAATATCCTCAGAAATTCTTTTTTAAATGCCAGACTGCAATTGTCCAGAATCAATTATTGGGCATTCAGTACTTGCAATGCCTCTGATGTGTGGTCAAGCAATCGTGAAAGCAAACCATCATCTTGATATGGGACAGAGAATAAAACCATGCAGGAGAAATGTCCTGTGGTAACCCATCTCTTAGTAGCTCAAAGACTGTTCTTTAACAAATCCACACATCCAATCTGCATGATTTTACAGGGCTGCTTATTCATTTTGGAATGAATAGATTACTTCTCTTTATTTAAGGCACTTTTTTCTCAAAGCTTCTAAGAAAAAAGGAAAAACTTGTGAGGGATCTAGAATTTGGTACTGTTTATTTTTCAATGTCTTGGACAGTGGTTTAAAAAAGTGGAGCTGGAGAGGTGATGTTTCTTGCTTTACCATTTATCAGAATCATACTGTGAAATAATTTTGAAGGGTGTCAGAGCTTGAGATGAGCTCTATTCTACCTCCTCATGTGTACAAGAAATTACACACGCAAAACTGACTGGTACAAATTCCCTGGTACAAATTCCAGAAAAAATATACTAAAAGCCAGTAATGCTGCTGGCCTTGTGGTGTGTGATCCAGCACACGGACCCTGCTACTCTGGCTGTGGCAGAATGAGGCATGCCTTACCATAGGGGTTCATGTGGTCGCCTGGCATTTGTGGAGGGGTAAGACCCTGCTGAAACGGGTCTGTGCCATAACTGCTTTGCTCCATTGCTACAATCTGCTGCTGTGGTGGTGCAAGTGGTGTGTAAGATGTCATCATCCCTTCCATTCGGTTGGACATTACTTCTGCAAAGCAAAGAAGAGGCAGAGTCACTGCTGGGGACCAGGGCAGCATTAGTGGCAACACTGAACCTGAGCAAATGCAGGGAGGGGGATCCTGCCAGTCAGAGGAGCTTTCCAAATTTTGTCTGAGAGTAGAACCTTGAGCAAGTAAGTTGAAAGATTTGTAATTTCTCACTAAATCATTTCTGGAGCTCCTGGGTGCTGGACCCTATCCTCCCGAAGTCTGTTCTATGTGTGACAGAGCTTAGCTACCCTCTAACTTCTGTTGGTCCCAGTTCTTCTGGCTCTAGGTAAAGAAGAGGATTTGAGACTGCAAGGCCTTGGGAGCTGAAGACCCTCAAGAATACCCACAGAGCAGCAGGGCGTGCCCTGGTGCCTCTGTGCAGTGCCTGCCCAAGGGTCCAGCCACCTGTGGGGGTACAGGAGGGGCTCCCCATGCCTTGCCTGGGGCAGCAATGCTGACACTCCTGCAGATTTCCAGCTGAGCATGGTGCACCTTCCTGCAGGAGAAAACCAACTGGAGGATCTACCTGGATCAAGCCTCATGGAGATTCCCTCTGGTGGAAGTGCCTCCATACGGCACATTTTTTCTAGAAAGGAGGTAACAGCTTCTGTGTGAGCACCTCTGTGCTCTGGCCCCACCAAGGGAACTTGGGGTAACCTGGCGTGGGCACTTGGGCACCCATCTGTGTGCTACCAGATGTGTGCTGATGGCACAGCTCACCCACAGACCCGCACATCACCTGGATGGCTGTACTAAGGTATCGTGCAGGAATGGCACTTCCAGACACCTGCAGATTCCTTCCCCCTCACTTTGCTTCATCACAAATCTCCTACCTTGTCCTAGTCGCTGCGAGTTCTGTTGCTCCTGCTGCTGCTGATGCCTTCGTGCCAGCTTTTTCATCTGAAAAAGAGCAGAATGGAACAATCTCATGGTCCTGAACGCAACAATTTGGCTTCCTTACAAAACTCTCTGCAAACATTGTTATCAGTAAACACAGACCATTTATACTCATGCACACACTGTTGTGGGTTCAGTTTCAATTCTAAGCTTAAACATCTCAGTTTCCTGTTCAGATTTGCATGCAAAATTAACTCCTAACCCTGTGTTGCTTTGAGCAACAGTGGCTGTGTTTGGAAGTTGCCTTTCTAGTGTGGATGTAGAGAGCAGTGCAAGGCAGAACCTGCAGAGCTCAGCCATGGGACCTCCACAGTGTGAGCTACATCCAGGGCAAGAGCTGAGGCATAACCTGCACTTGACTTTTGAGAATATGATAAACAACCTACCTTTGCTCTTTGGTTTTGAAACCAGACCTGGACGACTCGCACGCTGAGCCCTGTTTCAGCTGCTAGTGTTTCTCTGACCTGCAGGAGGAAATGCTTAATGATGCAATTTTTTACATATTAACCAAAACAAACCACTAATCAGTTCTGTTAGGATGAACATTTGTACTTACAACAAAAAATTGCATGCATGGAATTACTTTTAAAAATTCCTCATATTTTTGCATAGTTTTTTCAAGTTCTGCCCCTGATGTTGCTACCAGTTCCACAAGTACTGACAGACAGTCTGAGCTGAGGAAAATGATGCTCAGTCATTTCATGGTTTTTATTTTAGCCATAAAACAGTTCTGTGCAAAAAGAGTGCTCTGCTCTCACCCCAAGGGAACTGCTGCTGTCTTGGGAAGGGACAGGGGCTGTCTGGGGCTGTGGCCTGGAGTCAGAGCTGACTTGGTCCCTGGTGAACCACCTACCTTTCTACAGGGCTTGGAAGACACTTCAAAGGATGCTTTGAATGCTCTTCTCTGCTGTGTAGTAAGTATTGTCCTTGGTCGTTTAGGTCTTCTTGGGTCCTTCCCATCATCACTTCCTTTTCCTTGGGTTACTTGGCCTTTGGTGGGCTTAACATCTCCATCTTCATCATCACTTTTAACTAGTGAAAAGCAGGATATATAATTGCACTTGTTTCACCAAGAAAACAGGATGTTTGAGAACTGCTCTTCAGTCAACAGGTTCAACTATTATCCCATGGTTATTTGCATACCTAAATCAGCTGTGGGCAGGAAGAGACTATCTTAGATTTGTGTGCTCTGCCTAAATCAAATGGCACAAAAGCATAAAAACGTGTTCAATTTTTAATTGAGAAAGTGGGACTGATAAGGGGATAGAAATTCAGAATATACTTTAATATTTCCAGGGATCAGGCAGAGAGAGACTTTATGCCCTTCCAGCATAAGGAAGGTCTTTTATGTGCTCACCTGCTCCAACCTCACCACCAGACACACACCTTTCCCTTAGCAGCTGAGCTCCAGCTTCTCCTGAAGCATTATCTGCAGACAGGTACTACTACCTCCACTGCTACAGCAGCAAAACAGCATAAAGCAAGTACCACACAGATATCTCAAAGCCTGTATAACTAAATATAGTGCAAATTCCGGTTATTGTTCTGAATTTTTTGAAGCTCTAGAAATGATATTAAATATAATCTTTGCCATCTCATTTCCATTTCCCACAGAAAACATCAGTATTCTTCCTTTGTGTCCACATTATAATGTGTCTGGATGTACAAGCATGAACTTCTTTTTCTCAGTAAATGCATACAAGTATCTACGTGCTTGTGTAGACCAAACAGATTCTTTATGTTTTCTACAATTAAATTCTGAATGTTCATACAATCTGGTGATAGTACATGTGTTACTATATCATCCTGGGAGATCTCAGTTGCAGTGGCAAAGGTTGAAGGGTAAGTACAAATTTGTTGTGAAAATCAACCTTAAGTCAGCATATTTTATTTGACCAGACTACTGATTTTTCTTCCAGAAAACACTATCACATTATTATAGGGATTTCAACATGAAGAAGCACACTGACATTTTTATATGCTGAAAGATTACATTTGGGGAATCAACAAATTAGACTTTAATTCATTTTAGGGTCTGATTATTATGCACCTAGCAGTCTAATCACCTTTTACTTTAATAAGCATCTTTGGCCTAATGATTAAAGAGAAGCTCAGTCATTTTAATAACCATGACATTATTAACTTTCCAGCGTGCCATTTCTAACGAAAGGTTTGTGAGGATTAATTCTGCTCATAGGAGAGTACTTTTGTGTCCAGTGGATAAATATTTGATTGAAGCAGGACACGTTCTCAGCCAGGGCTCTGAAGATCCTGTGCTCTCACACAGGCCCCTGGGAGATCAGTGTTTTCAGTGTGTTAGACAATGGGAGACAAACAACCTATTTAACTTGTCAGCTTGTTTTTCAGGTTTGGGTTTGGCAAACAGAGAGTAATGAGGGGAAAAAAGCGTCTCTCGGAGTAAGAAACTCCCCCTTGTGCCAAAGGGAAATGAAATTGAAACCAAGGCTGGTTTGTGCTACTGTGGTTGCTCACTGCTGATCACAAACCAGATCTGACCGTGAAGAGGAGCCCACCGCTGCCCAAAGCTCACGTCAAACAGCTGCCAGTGCTGGCATCTACGGGAGGATGTCTGTGCCCAGCCCCAGTGCAGGGATGGTCTGGCTCCAGCTGCTTAAGGGGGTTTGGCTGGACACGGGGCAGGTGCCCAGCAGGATGCTGGAGCTGGCGGGTGGAACGACACAGTGATGGGTGAGGAGGAAACTCACGTGCCTTGGGCACGTTCACCAAGAGCTGAAACCCTGTGATGTGAGATTTACCGAGCAGAGACTCAAGGTCCTGCAAACACAGCATGGCAATAACTGACACATAATAATAACACAATTATTGCTATAATAATAACAATAACTGCTCCAAGAATGATCCCGGTTGCATGCATTGCTGAAGCTGCAGAGACCTTTGGCCTGTGCCATTCCTGACACAGAAATACAAATTTCAGCCATGTGGACAATATGGCTCTCAGATTAGAGACTAAGGATAATTTCTGCTCTTAGCTAAAATGGAATAACACATTTTCCCATAAACCAGAGGTAAGCATTCATGTCATTTGTACATTTAACGGAACGGTAACTATTGATTTTCTTACACATTTTCTTGGGAAACAAGTGTGCTATTATGATGGCACAAACCAACATCTCAGTTTCTTTCAGACTCTCTTCAGTACTTCTGTGTTGTACTTGTAATTTTTCTTAAAGGTACCATTTGTGATTGGCAGAGAGAATCCTCTCAAGAATCGTATTACTGCTGTTCCCACCTCCTTAGCTCAGTGCTGAAAGTGTATGTGCAGAAGATCCCCTGAAAATATGTTAATGGATGGAAGAATGTCTGTGGAGAACAGCATACTGAGGACTCACTTGAGTGAGACCTCGGGTAGCTGAAGTCAGTCTGATTCATGTTTTATGACCTTGCAGAAAAATACTTCGATGAAAACAAAAGGATTTTGTCCTTTACTAAGCAGCAATTTAAGGAAGGGAATCAGGTCAGGGAGAGCAGACTGCAAGTAGGGATGTTTTCAGCTGTGCCTGTGAATTTGCATAAGTGGCATGTGCATACAGACAGAGTGGATGTGAAAATTGATGTAATTCCCTATAAGAAAGCTGCCCAAACTTATGCAGCTTTTCCAGTCAGAGCAGGTGGGGGAAAAGCTCACCTGAGTCTGAGTCGTCTGGGCTGACCGAGCTCAACAAGTCCTTCTCTTTTTCGTAGTCACTTTTGCAGAGCAGCTGCCCTTCCTTGAGGACAAACTCATCCCCTTTCCTCAGCTGGCGCTCGCACACGCAGCAGCAGAAGCAGCTGAGGTGATACACACACTCCAGGGCTCGCATCACGAACTCCGTCGGGGCGATCTTCTCCATGCAGCCGCTGCACTTGGCGGCAAACAGCCTGCAAGGAAGAGGTACCACAGTCAAAGGGAGTGTCAGATCATACCCTGCATGGATCTAAATCCAGCAAAACCTGCACAGATCAGCATGGCTCATGCTCCTGCACACTGTGAGACTCGCGTCCTTAGGCTTGGAAACATCACAGGCATGCAATTTATTCAAATCTTGATCCCTTTGGTCTTGAGATTCCCCAAATCGCCTTTGCTGGATAAAGCCCACTAAGATATGTCCTTATCGCAATGTTTTTTTCCTCTTCAAAATGAGAAACAAAAGGGAGCTCTCAGAGTTGGATAACTTGCCCAAACCCAAATGTATTTTAATTTACCTTTTAGAGAAAGGACCAGCACATGCTTTGTTTTATGCAGGCTCTCTGGTTTCAGCACTTAAACCCTTTTCTGAACAGATTTCATGGCTTTCCATTTTTGGTATTGTCTGTCTCTGAGGACACTGATAAACGAACACAGAAATGAGCAGGAAAACTCAGTGCTCTGGCTGAGGCAAAGCCGATGCACGCACATGCGACTGCACACATGCAATCGATAAAGAGAGCAGTGCAATAAGAAGGCTTTTCTTCGGATGTTGAGTTATTCCAGAACAACCTGTCTCTGAAGGGAATACTGTGCATTTTAAATGGTGTGAAACATCCTTTGGCAGAGATAAGCAGTGATACAATCTGCTAAATTACCACTATAATCACAGACTCTAGAACACACACTGTATCCAGACTAGTTCTTATTAAACCTCTATAAACCTCTTCTTTCATCCATCATTAATTTCCTAAGATAAAGTTAGAATTATTTAGATTAATTTTATTTTGCTTCTCTAATGTCAGCTGGGAATCTCCTAAGTGAGCTTTTCAGAAGAGGGCTGCCTCAAATAAAGACAAATCGCTAAGTTACGTCCCTATGTCACACAGTGGGCTGATGATTTGAAATTCAGTGTCTTTTAAGGCAATACATCACAGCGCAAGGTGTGTGAACATTTACACTTCAGATAGGAAATGAACACAACTGCACCCGTGTGTTCACAGGAAAAAAACTATATTCTGCCTTTTAGTGCAGGGTCCACTGATCTTTCTTTTTCATCATCAAAATTATAATTTTTTACAAAAAAGGCAATTTTCTTTGATTTTAGAAGACAGAGACTGTAGTAGTTACTCATTCCTCCAGAGCCTCCATTTTGTCTGAGCTGAGAAGTGCAGGAAAATGGCAGTCACGAGCCCTCAACAAAGGACTGGAGTCAGAGTGGGCAGGAGGGAAAAGCAAATGTCAGTGTGGTTGCACACAGCATTCAGCGAACATCTGAGAGCCGAGAACCGGGGGTTCCCCAGCTGTACCAAGGAGGGATTGCACTGGGAGCCTGGCTGGCTCAGTGCACACCTTTGTACAGCACAACCTCAAGGTAACAGCTGTGCAAGGTGGACCGAGTGCTTTGTTTTGGGGGTATGTAATGAATTAACTCGATCAAAAGGAAACTGATGCCACACAGGACCCTCGGGCACTGCCACGAACAGGCTGGCTCATTTCATACACTCGCTTGGCTTTGTCCACAAGGTTTTACTTACAATGCTTTAGCCAGCAAATTCCTAAGCAGAAAATATTTTTATCTCTACACAATAACATATCTGAAAGGATTAACACACAAAGGGCAAAAAAAAAAGGAGCACTGAAAAAAGTTGTTTCTATTTAACTGCTTAAACCTATTTGACTCCTTTAACCAAGCCTGGCCCCTCCGTCCAGGGGTGTCCTTAGGACGGGGCATACCTGGAAACCCCAGGACTGGCAGGGCTGGTGCGAGGGCACCGTCCTCCCGCACCCACGCCCGCCTGGGGCTGGGAAGCTGCCGGGAGAGCTGCCGGGAGGGTCGGGGCGGCCCCGACGTGCGGATGCCCCGCTCGGACCGGGACCGCGGGGCTCCGGCCGCCCTCGGGCTCCGCAGCCGTTCGGGTGTCCCGTCAGCGCTGCTGGGCCGGGAAACGTTTAAAAACGGACTGCAGGGACCCCGTCCCGCCGCCCATCGCCGCGGGCAGGTGCCCACCTTCCCACCCCAGCGAGGGGAGAACGGGGAGCCTTCCCCGGAGGGGTCTGCGGGGGGCGGCGATGCCGCGGGAACAGACGGGGGGTGCGGGCGCGGCAGAGCGGGGAGGGTGGGCTTGGCCCTGGCGGGGCTGTGATCGCTCAGGTAGGGCTGTGATCACTCAGGTAGGGCTGTGATCGCTCAGGTAGGGCTGTGATCGCTTCTAGTTTTCTCCCAAGTAAAGCACACAATGCGCCACCATCCAGTGACAGTGAAAACACAGTTGTAACACCATTTACAGATAATTTCAAGGAGGAAAGCCCAGGAAAGAATAAATACCCCATACCTTCCCTCTACCTGGGACATGAGAATAATCTTCTTGTCCTGTGGAGTTTCCCCGAGCAGCACCTTCGCTGTCATATTGCCTTACTGAGTGTTTGGGTTTTTAAATTTTTCTTCAAAATAAAAATGTCTAACATGAACAAAAAATATTTTGTGTTATTTACTAGCAATTGACTATCCCCAGAAAGCTGGTGCTTTTGCAACAGTGCTTCCCAAGGCAGCCTTTTAGCTATAACGAATCACACTGTCATCAGCGTAGTATTAATTCATTCAAATGAACATTAAACTGCCCTGACAATACTGTGTGGACTTCGTATCTAGAATTTGCCCACTGTCAAGAAAATTCCCTCCTCTATACACAGGTATTCTCTGCACTATAACATGCACTACAACATGCACTACACACACAGAGGGCCTTGTTGGATTGAATTCTGAGATTATAAAATCTTCATTACATCTATCTTATAAAGCATTTATAGATATTTTTTTAGCTTCCCAAGAGGAACCCAAGGTTATGCACTCCTTTTGCACAAGGCAATCTCACAACAGGAAACTAATCTTGACAAATGACCAGACTTTGATAGCTGTGATCTAAACCACTGCTCGTTAGACTGTTCATTTTATAAACGAATGGTAATAAACCTGTTGGGAAGTGTAGGATAGCAGGAATACTTTACAGATCACCCCTTTACAGGTTTCAATCAAAGCCATAAATTTTAAGTGGAGCACACAGATATTCTGTGCTGAGACAAAGCCTCCGTCCCACACCAACCACATTTAAAGGAATATTTCTTTTGCTTTCTATACATTTTACAAATAATTTGCATAACTCAGGCTTTTCACCCCCATGGCTGATTATCTCCAGATCTCTTAAGTTAATGTCAAACCTCAAAATCCTTGGACTTGTAAAAGTATGTGGAGAGTGGAAATCAAATGCCTTTATTAGAAGCCCCAGGAAATCTCTGACTCCTAAGCACAACGAAAACATTCCAAAGAAAATTGTTCAAAGAGGACAAAGCAGAAAAGCAGAACAAGAAAACCTTGTTTTGAATCAATGATTGCAGAGTTTTATAAATAAATTCTGTTGCCTGGACAATTTTGAAAGACAACTTAATAGGTTTAGGAGTTTTTAAGTGTGTTTGCCTCTGTGCCTGGAACACTTGTGAGATTCAGCCAAGCTAAAGCTTGGAACAATGGCCTGCCTGTCCATTGGAGTATCTACAATAAATGCTGTGAAGCAACTTTACAGTACCAGATAATCAAAAAGTCTTTACCAGCTAAAACTGGGTGAACTTAAATTAATTTGTATCAGGGGCAATGCAAATGCTAAGACATGTGGCCCTGTCTTTAAACAGTAGATGAAAATGTTCACCAGCGGAAGAGGCCATAAAGATTTTATTTGTTAGGATATCCCTGTGAAGTCAGGCTGAATCAGTAATCCTTAGAAACAACCACAGTTACATGATCCACTGTGCCTTCCTGCATGGCACAGCCATCTGGTGTGCAACATGGACCCCTGATTTATTATCTCCCGTGCAGTTATCTCACAGTAAGTTTGACCCTGCTTTGCTCCTGAGAATCACAGCTCTGCTGTTTACTCTCCTGGTGTCCTGACAACCTACCCTTTACCTTTCTATGGTTCAACCAGGTCCTTCATTTCCTCCTGTCTGTGGGCAAATAGATTTTAATTGTTTTATTATAACTAATTTAATCTGTGCTGAGAGACCTCCACGTGCAACGTGAAATTTGCTGTTCACATTAAGTGTGGTTCAAGAGGTTTGTTATACAGGACAGAGGTAGAAAAATAGACTAATTCAGTCAGGTTGTTTATTTACTGGGCCTCTGCCATGAAGCAGTAAATAGGAAGTTATTAAGCCGTGTTTGATGTATGCAAGAGGACAGATGCTGCTGCCTACCTATCAAAGACCTTCAATCATTTCCCTTTCTGTGTTATTCTGACGTTATGTGTTGCAGGAACCACAGTAAATACCTGGCTTTTCTTTATTTAATAAATATGCAAAGATGGTGGTCGCAAGCTTTTGTGAATACTGTCAGTGTGGTCTCCAGCTCTGCTGCTTTTCCCTCTGCTCACACCCTCCTGGGACTCCCCTCTCAGCCTGTTCCACCGCCAGGAACTCGTTCTGCACTCCTGTGCCACCAAACAGGGTAGAGCTGGAGTCAAATATATTATGCTTTTCACACAACTGAGTTTTATTAAGAGAAGAAATTAAATTACTAATGAAAGACATCTGTTACTTGTTCTTTAGGAGAAATTCTGGTACTTCTTTCTTTAGATGACATAGAATGGGGAAAACATTACGCGTGGGCCTTTTCCAGCCCAGGACTTGAACATTTTTGTAGCATCTTACAGCTCATGGGTGCTTACAAAGAGCAAAATCTGTTGCTTGGTTACACTCAATTCTGAACATTCAAAACATTTCAAATGCCGTAAAGCGAAACAGAAATATTATAATTTTATGATTTGAAAAAAACCTCCACCCTTAAAAAAGAAGCATTCCATTTAAAATATTTTCCCTGCAGAAAAAATAATTACATAGTTTATTAAAGCCAATTTCATAGCTGAAACTTCAGCAGAAGAAAGCTAATTCCCTTTCACCGAGTAGTAATAAAACGCGCAAAAAT